CCTTATACTAGCAGCGCAGAGCCGTGCACTAAGTAGCAAGTGGACATGAGGGGCTGCGCCATTACAGCGCCAACAGGTCAGGCTGTCAAGCCCCTCTTCGAGTCAAAGGTAGAATGCTGGCTCCCATAAACCAACAATCTCCCCCCCAGCAACTACCCTGGGACTCAAACCCGTGACTTCGCTCTGATACCAGGTTTCAGGATCAAGCGTTTTTCCACTACGCCAAAAGTTATAGCTGTTAGCCAAGGTGCAACTTTATTTCCTTATACTAGCAGCACAGAGCCCCGCACTAAGTGGTAGGTGGACATGAGGGGCTGCGCCATTACAGCGCCAACGGGTCGGGCTGTCAAGCCTCTCTTCGAGTCAAAGGTAGATTGCTGGCTCCCATAAACCAACAGAGAGATATGAGTGGATAGACATGTAGCCCGAAAAGGCAAGCTCCCAATGGAGTGAATTAAAATTTTATAGGCAAAGAGAGAGAGGTTTGGTGGAGTAAACACTGTAAACAAATGGGTGTTTCGTAATGAGAAGGCGTCCACAATACACGATGTAAGGTTTGGGGTATTCCTCGTCTGCCCTAGATTACACATGAAAAGCTATAATATATAGTACTGAATGCACATGTTATTCTGGTGTTTGAAATTCTCAACAAATTGTAACGTATCCCCATCGTTATAGTGGGATCTCTTCATCCATCAATGTAACCATTAGTTTGGGTGAACCATATAAATTTTTCATTGTGCATGTGTGATATTGCTTTATTGCTTAGGTTGGATATTCCATATGCATTCTTGTTGTCTTGGCTGCAATTCTAGAGAAATCGATCGGTCGCATCGATTCCACTTTCTCGTTCCTTTTTGCAGAGTGTGACTGGTCACATTATTACAGATTTGTTACACTTATCTAGTTCACACTATGGTGATTTGTCAACATTTTCTTTCGTTGCGCACCTCTTTATAAGTGGTATCAGAGCATTTGGTAGTTCTCAACAATTGGTATCAAAATCGGTGGTTTTGCTGGAATGTTCAGAAAATAAAAATAAAAACACAATAAGTCTCAACAAGTGTTGCAAATGATGTTCAGTTGCATATGGAGTCAATTAGTTGGCTTACTCAGTCACGATGGACGTTAGGGTTCACTCTCATCCTAAAAAAAAAAATAGTTTATTTCTTAACTCGCTAAAGGTAAGGTGTTCCCACAAAAGAGAAGGTTTGCTTTCAGTCAATGTTCATTTTCAGTCTTGAAAATAATGGGTTCTCTTTCAGCTACTGTGATATTGTGCCCCGAATTTGGTGCTGGGTTGCGTTGCGACTAACTTATGACCCGAAAACCAGTTGGATGAACTTTGTGTGGGCCCAAGCCCATTTTTTACTCATGAATCGTGGACCCTAATTAGTCTATTATAGTCCAATATATAAGGGCGCTTAAGATTTAGAGTAGGGAAAGAGATAAACTCTGAAATTCGTACAGAAATAGAGTGAAGGCTGAAAACTTGTAATATTCGATTTTACACATAGTGAAAACTTTTGCCGGATCCCAATCGTAGACATAGATTGTTGCTGAACCACGTATAAATCTTTGTATTCTTTGTGTGGTGTATTTAATTTTCTGTCGTGATTCTTGGTTTAACTTGGATTTGTTACGTTTGTTATAACAGCCACAAAAAAAAGGTTTGCTTTCAGCTCTAAAAAAATAGGTTATTTCTCAGCCACAAATAGAATGTTTGCTCTCAACGAAGATTCGCTTTCAATCTTTAAAAGTGTGGGTTATCTTTCAGCCAAAAGGAGAAGGTTTGCTATAAAGCCGCAAAAAGGAACAAGACAAAATTGTGATGGGTCACATGGCATGGAGTTCGAGTCAAGGTGGAACCTTGAAAGATTATTAGAGGTGCGCAAGATTGAAGCCGAATGAATTGTCTAAAATCAATTGTCGTGGGAAACGATGATTGATATAGTAGAATTTGAGCCAAGGTGGAAATTGTTAGGAATTGTGATTCATATTCTTCAATTTCTTTTGTAGAGCTATTTTGTTATGAAAAATTATTGAAAGCCAAGTTTTGGCCTAGCTCTATGGAATATTAATGTAAAACAAGTTTTGGCCACTAAGAAATTGTAATCCTGGTTTGCCAAGGAATTGGGTAAGATACTTTATAAATAGATACCTAAATTATTGTTGAGAGGTATGAGTGGATAGACGTGTAGCCTGTAAGGGTATCCTGCGAGAGAGTGAGTTGCGAGTTAATGGAGAAAATGAGTTGAGTTTTATGAAGTGGACATTGAACATAATAGGGTGTCTCATAATAAAAAGGCATATTGTAATACAGGTTGTAAGTGGACATTGAACACAATAGTTTATTGTTGTGCATTATTATTGTCATTGTTATAATTACGGAAAAGTCCAACCAGTTGCACTCTTTGTGTTTGGTCCCATTGTCTCAATCATGAAGTTACGTTTAGTCCGATCGGTCTCACTTTCTTCGTTCGTGTTATTGTAATTTTCACATTTTCTTCTGCACCTCCAACAGTTTAACTATTTGGATTAAAGTCATTAGTGAATTCAGGTTGGACTGACTTCGATTTTTTAACAATTGTTATTTTTTTTTCTTATTAAAATCTAATACTCTGTATTTAATAAAGGTGAGTGTGCATGATGTGTTAGTAGATACTAAAAAGAAAAGATGATAAAATAAAATTTATAATTATAAGCATTTTTTATATCTAGAAAAAGTACATAACCCTTATATTTTATTTTATATATTCTTGTATGTGCCATTAACTCTAAAATAACTCATAGATTTATTATATATATTATGTATGTAAATACAAATTCATGAGCTTGAACATTTATATAACAAAAGCCTAATATATATAGAGATAGGGGAAAGATTTTCAACTTAGATTGTTCCTTTAGCCTTCTCTGAAGGAATAGTGCTACACAAATATGAAGGTTTTCCAATGAAATGCCATCAAATGTTGTTGTTGTTGTTTAATTTATTTATTTAAAGGTAAGTACTCACACACGCTTCACAATAGCTATAACATGTTTTGCAACTTATAGATTAGATTTTAATTTGAATTTTGTCAATTTAATTTGATAAATGTATTGGACATTTAATTCTATAATTTACAGAGTATCAACAATTTGAATTTCATAAATTGTTAACTAAAAAAATTATATATGAATTTAGGCCTAGTTTGTTTTAACGTAAAATATTTTTTTCGAAAAATAATTTTTTTTTTCTTCAGGTAATATATTTTATTTTATTTTTTGATATTAAGGTGTAGGTCGATGTTGAGGTCGAGTCGATCAGGTAGCAGTGGCGAAACCACATTGGGACCAATGGGGGTAGTTGTTGTCCCCAACTGGAATTTTTAGTTAGTTATATTTTGTATATATAAATTTTGATAATTTTGAAATTGCCCCCACTAAAATTTAAAAAATTCACAAAAGGCTTTTAAAAAAGTCAAAATTTAAAAAAGCCCCTCATTTTCTAACTTATTTGTCTAACAAAAATTTTAAATTTGAAAAACACCCATGTCTTTTTCTGATTTCATAAAAATTTTAACCATCAAAATTCAAAAAAGATCCCTTCTTTTCACAAAAAAATTTTAGTTAAAAATTTCGTATAACATTATTGTCAATATTTGCCCCCATTCAAGTAGATTTTTGGCTCCGCCATTGTCAGGTGAGGCGTGTAAAATAGCTTGTTGAAAATTGATAAATAAGTTATTTTTATTATATTTTAATATATATTTTTTCTTCGTAAATATTTTACGAAAACTAAACACCAGAAAACATAAAAAATATTTTCTAAAAAATATTTTACGTTAAAACAAATAGAGCCTTAGTGATATATTTCTTTCAAGGTAATTAAAATAAAAAATCATAATCGAAGTTTTCAAATTATAGCTAGACATTGTACTTGCACTTGTTACAAATGTCTCTTCTAGTGATGGAAGATGCCAACCAAAGTCCTTGTCTTTGTTGTACAATTAAGCATTTGTCCGAGAATTTAAACCTAATAAATTTAGAAATAAATAAGATATAAAGTACATAATTACTATTAGAGTATTGATTCTTTTAGATATTGGAGAGGGTCCTCTACTCCATTTAGAGTAGAGGTTGCATCAACAATGATGAGATTGGATTTTCATATTCTCATTCGCCAATTCAATCTCCACTTTTGATGAATTATAGGTAGAAATAGTAAAATAGTTTGCCTCGAAGGACAACCATCACCCTCTACTAAAAATAGTTTTAGAGACTGTTTAATAGTTTTGAGTTCAGACCGGAAAGGTCATAGTCCAATTTATAATTCAAAAATACTAATTTACCCTTATAGTTTTTGTTATATACAAAATTTTCCTTATTGTTACAAGAATGTTAATTTTTATTTATTAATTTGATATATATATATATATATATATATAGTATCCTGATTATTAATTTGATATTTGAAAGAATGTTTTATACTAAATATGAGCGGAAAAACTAAAAAAATAATTGAGTTGGAAATTAAATGGGACAGGTTAACTTAAACGGGTGCAAGACTGCAAGAGGTTGTTTGCTAGATGGTTTTGAATAAATACAAGGTGAAAAAACTGTAACAAGTTGGGGATCGAAAAATAGGATTAGCTCTAAACCTGCCTGTTGCCATTTTTAATTATTGGATCCTCTCCAATTAGAGAGGATCCAAGTCCTAATTATGCTCGTGAGTTACATGGCCGTTATGGTGTTTAGATGTGTCTTCTTCTTTTCTTTTCTTTTTTTTTTTTCTTTTTTAGCGAAAACATTATTTGAGAAAAAAGGAAAAAAAAGAAGAAGAAAGAAATAACAAGGGTTGGTCTGTGATAATACAAGAAATTTGAGCATAGCTCTGTAATTTTTTCAATCCTAAGAAAAGTTTCTGTAATTACAGAAAAGCTCAGAAAAATGTAAGCGAAAGAAATTGGGCCGAAGGATTATATAATTCCTGGTTTTGTTTATCTTGATCCCAATTCCCTCGAACTAGGTAACATTTTCCCAAACAATCGAGCACTCCAAATCATATATGTACAAACACAGACACACATATACATATATGTGCCTGTGTATATATATGGAGAGAGAGTAATGGCGATGGAGACACGGGAAGAAGGAAGAGCTTGGGCAGAGAAAACAGTGTTACGAGCAGAATGATCCCTTCGAGAAACGAAGAGGACATTAATCGTGCGAACCCAAATGAGTCTATGATTAAGTGTTGTTACTACCGAATCCGTACAATTTATCTACTTTATCATCAAAAAGGAAATTAAGAAAAAGGACATCTTTGAAATATCTTTCGGAGCACAGCACAATTTCCGAATTTCATGTGTACCCAACCAAGAGAACCACCCAAAAGTCTATTCTCACATGGAATTTTCAATTCATTCTTATTACTGGTTCAATTTAATGCATATGTGCAAATATAGGTGTGTATATATATATACGCACATACTACTTCTTAATTCTTATAATCATCATTTGTTTAATCAATACTATTCATATACGCACACGCTTTGACACGCCTGGGATTTCTAGCTCTGTTTTTATTTTTATTTTCTTCTTTTCGGGTTTTGTTTTTTCCGATTTGTTTTTGTTTCTAAAAACAGTTTGTCAAAAGCAGATTTAATTATAGCCTCTATCTTTCTTTACTTTTTTTTTCTTTTTTTCTTTCTTTCTTTTTTTCTTTGTTTCAATGTTTTTGTTTGTGTTGACCCTGTGATAGTTGGATGTGTGGTAATGTGTTTGTCACTGCACCAAAGCTGACACACCGTATTTTTTCTAACAAGTGAGAATATTTATTTATAATTTTGTGTTTTGATATAGCGGTGGATAGAGGGTCGAGATAAATAGATAGAGATTCTTATTAGGCACGATTTTTTAAAGTTGGAAATTTTATTGGGTGGGTGATTTTTAAGGGCCTAGGGTTCACATTCTTACTTTACTCTCAATATTCGGTGCCTTGTTTTTGAGGGATTTGAAGCTGCGGACTAACAAGGGTCGTCGATCTTTCCTGATTTCTTCATCTGGGTTGTTGAGATTCCATGATTTTCTCATCTGGGTCGGTGAGTTTTTCTGGTTTTAATCATCTGGGGTGTTGAATTTTGTTGGGTTTTCTTTTCTGTTTTGTTGATTTTTACATGTTTCTATAAGGGTTTGGGGAAATTTCTTGATTTGGGCTGTTTGTGAGTATAATTTTAGGGTTCGTTTTTGTTTCGCCCCTTTCGATTCCTAAACTGGTCGGAAGATTAGTGTTTTTGGTTTTCAGTTTGGTCTTCCCAAGTGGGTTCTTCATTGTGAGTTAGGGTTTGGGTTGTCTGGATTCTCGTGGTGGGAGGTGTGGTGATTGGTTTGGATGTTGGCTTTGTGCAAGGGATTCTGATTCTTTCTCCAAGGCAGACTGTGTTTTGGAGAAGATGGTTTTGACCTTGAACTCAGGGTTCGGATCGGGTTGGCGTAATCTGAACCATATTTTATGCAGATTTTATGCTCAACTTTGGAGATTTTAAGTCAGTGGCTCTCTTGTAGAAGGAAGTTAGTTTATTTTCCTCTTCAACACTTGTGGAATCGCATGTAAAGGATGTACCATACTCAAGGAGCTTCAAAACACAATTGTGGTCTCCTTGCGGTTTTAGGGGGGAGACCTTCTGGAAAAGAACAAAAGCAAGATCCCCCAGTAGATCGGCCGCTATATCCCTTTCCAGAGATTGTTTCCTCGGGTCGTTTGGAGGTGCAAATTAACACCTAATTGCATCATTTTGTTATGAAATATATTTCCTTAGATGTCACTTTGTTCTGAGGTTTATGAGCTAATGGTGTTTCTATGATGAGTTTTAAACTATTCTTTTAATTCGTTGAATGCAGGTTCAGACTCTGAACAATCCAAGCATAGAAGAGTTCCATAAAGTTCTTGATTCATTTCAACCAAATTTTGTGTATTTGCAAGGAGAACAGCTTCCAAATGATGAAGTTGGATCTCTGGTGTGGGGAGGTGTTGACTTATCTACTACTGAAGCCATATCCGGGCTTTTTGGTTCCACATTGCCAAATACTGTATGTGACTTATACCTTCTACTTGTTTTTGTGAAGTGGCTTTTTTATATATGACTTGATGTTCTTCTGTCTGCAATTCTTTTATGCTTCCCATGCACTTGTTATTTTTTTCCACTTTGGTGGAGAGGGGGTTGTTAGTCCGCATTTTATCTAAAGAATTTTATTCTTGTGAGTTGGTAGTTGAATTTGTTTTTTGATAAGTAAGTTGATAGTTGCATTTTAACTGCATTTTTGCCTACGTTTTTTATTTTTTGGTGATCCACTGTTTGAAAATTAACTTTATGCTTCGAGTGTGTGTGTGTGTGTATAGATTATGTGATCTCTTGTACTTGAAGATTCAATTGTTCTTCGTTCGTAATGGGAGCAGCATGGATCTTTAAGGAATGTGCTTCTTGTTTCAGGTGGTCTCGGTGTATGCAAGTAATCCGAGTAAAAGTGGGGTGGTGTGATAGTCAGGGGGGTTGTTGGTGTGCACTTTGTGGCTGTATATATAGGCTTTCAAAGAGCTTTCTTTTTATTTTGGTTTGCCTCTTGGTTGCAAAAAGCTGAGTTGGTGACTGTAAGAGGGTTATTGATGTGCATCTTTTTTCCTTAATTTAGGATGTCGATTGGGGGAGCTTTCTTGAGAGAAGGTATGGGGGATGTAGGACTTATTATAGATTTAACGACGTTACTCTTCATCTCTAGAATTGTTTAGCAATTCTTTTCTGGTAACTAGCACAAGTAGATGGACTTGAATTATCATGTTGGGAAAAAAATGACGTGAACTCCTTTTGAAATGGGTTGTTTATGAATTAGTACCTTTATTTTATGAATCAAGCTCTCATGGGTAGTGGATTGGATGCTTGCAGCCAAACCAATGCAACGCTTTTTACTTTAAATTACGGGATTTCAAAATAGTTTGGTTTTCTTATGAGGCGAGAGGTCCTTTCGATGGAATGATGTGCTAATAATCTTAAAGGGGCTTGAGAATTTTGGTGTGGGGCCCGTCTTCATGCTCTTTATATGGTTATGTTTTTGTATTTACTATTTATTCAATGTAGCGTCTACAAGGGTGTGTGATATTATTTTGGTTTAATGGGGATTATCTATCGTTGAAAATGAGTTCCCTTGCTGTGCATCTTTTGTCCCTTACTTTAGGTTTTCTTGCTGCTGCACTTGTCTGGGAGGGGTGGGGAGCAGTACAATGGATAGAAGACATAGCTCCCTCTCAAGAATACTTTAGCTATTCTTCCTACTTACGTATCTTCCTTTTTTTGTTTCTTCTTATTTTAGCATGACTAGTTGGGACATATATCATTTAGTGAACTAAAACGTGGTGTGAATTCCTTTTGAATAAGTAGTGTTTGAATTAGACCTTTTTGTATTATGAATGGTTCTGTGGATGACATGGGTACCGTGAAGGGAATGGAAGAGTCCATATAACAGGTAGTGTTATTTGGTGGAGGGGGTAATAGATAGTGGAATATGAGGTTTGTTAGATCAAATAATGATAGGGAACTTTAACCAGCAATGGAACTTCTCGAGAGACTTTATTTGATATCTCTACGGAAGAGGGGGGTCCATCTGACTAGGAAAAGGAACCAAATAATGGGTTTTGATGCTTGGTTTGTTTGGGGTTCCCTGGGTTATGCCTCGTTCTGCTAGAGGGTTGATCGAGGCTTGGAGAGGTTTCTCAGTCGGGGCTCTCATTCGGGATGCTTGGAGGGCTACTCCGCTTTGTATTTGGTGGTGCATTTGGCTGGAGAGAAACCGGAGATTTTTCGATGGAAAGGAAAAGCCTGTTTCTATGCTTAAGTTCTCAATTATTTTCACTCTTTTTTGTTGGGTTTCAGGGAGAGATTATAAATCTATTGAGGAGATTGTTTTTTTTTGGGCCTCTTTGAAGGTTTGAGGCGTTTTCTGGCCTTTGTATTTCTTTGGGACCCGCTCCCCTTTTGAGCGTTTTTATAATATTTTACTTATCAAAAAAAAAATAATGGGTTTTTTTTTTTTTTTTTTTTGGGTAAAATCCTTTTATGAGTAAATCTTATCTTCCTAAAGCATGAGAGGGGACCAGAGATCCCTGATGAAGCTGTTTGGGGCTGTTTTGTTTCATCGGAAATGGGCTTTCCTGTAGGAATGATGGTTTTCTTTGAATGGCTAAATTCTTGGGTTGTAGACAGGGTGATTCCAAAATTGTTATCTGTGTGTACAAAAGCTTTGAAAAAGTTCTGGTCTTCTTTTTGGAGTTTATTAGGTGCTTCTTAGAGGTGCTCATAAAATTCTTTGGGATGGTTTTCAAGGCTACTTCAAGAAGTATATCGTTTGGAAGACACCTCCCTTTTCTCTGCGCGTGTGTTGGAAAAGTGGAATAGGTGGGTTTTTGAATAAAAAAAGAACTATCTCTTCTCAAAGCTTAGTGCTGTTTTTCTTGAAAATGCGATAATGTGGGGGTGAGGAGTAAATGAGATTTTAAATATTTCCTTTTTCTATTACTTTGGGGTTATGTTCCTTTGTTTTGCAGTTACGTTTTCCTTTCTTGGGCCTTTGTCCTTGATTCCTTGCATATTTTCATGGTACTTGGCCGCTGTCCTTTATGATATTGAATCACCCTTCAGAGATGACTTATTAGAGAAACTGTAATGGAGAAAAAGATGCTCCCCAAGTCTTTTTTGCGATAATTGTTATTTTTAACATTAGAGAGTTGAGATACTTTTATGATGGGGGAAGACAATGAAAATGGGGAAAGTGGAAGTCATATAGATGTTACAGGTTATAGATAATTGGAATATTGGATGGACTCATTAAAAGTTGTATAGATTTTCTGTTTCACTAAACCTATTTCACAACTCTGCAGTAGTCCTGTACTCATTTTTCTTCACAGCTCTAGTGTAGTCCCGTTGTCAATTTTTTATTTTTTTTTATCTCTGCCCCACACCTCCCTAATGTTGAAAATTTGGGATGTTGCATGGTTATATTCTGTTTGATCTAATTCAGTTCAAATGCTTATGAAGGTTTATCTGGAGGTCTCAAATGGAGAAAAGTTGGCAGAGGTGCTTCATTCTAAGGTAACAGACGATAGGAGTTCACCATAAAGAATTTTGAATTTGGATAAAGTTTATATAATTTGAGAACCAGAAACTTGCATATCTAACATTCTGATGAATTTTCTTTTATGAATGGTCAATTAATCAGTATGTTCACCGTTGCAGGGAATTCCTTATGTGATATATTGGAAGAATGCATTTTCATGTTATGCTGCCTGTCATTTTCGCCAGGCGATATTTTCAGTGGTACAGAGGTATATTATGATTTACATGAAGAGACATATGTATAGAAGGCCTCTAATTTCGTGTCATGGAATGTTATGCTGCTTTACTCTTCTTAGTTTTTCAGCTAAAATATCTCTCTGATGATAAAATATGTCAATTCGTAACTTATTCATACATTATGGAGGCTACACCATACTTTGACCTCTCTCTCATGGTTCTCACTCTCTAATTGTGTGTATTGGTGGGTTGGGGGAGGGATGTCTTGGTTTAGAACTATTTAAATTTTAAAATATATAAATTATAGAAATATTATAAGATGCTGTAGAAACAGAAATGGGGCTGATTTTCTGGTAGCCCTACCTGTGATCTGGTGCACATTCTAGACCCTGTTTTGGGGCTTGTTAGCCTCTCTGTTTATCATCCCCACAAGAATAAACAGTTCAATTTGTGCATCACGAAGATCAAGTTTTGGCATTGTGTTATGCCGTTATGGTGATTCAAGTGTAGAAGATCGTGTAATAAGTTGTTTCCTGAGTGTAAATGATCAAAGCAAGGACCCCATTTCGTTAAAGTGGGTCAAATTAATGAGCCACTCGACACTTGTTTAAGCCTTTAAGGCATGCGTAGGGTACTTTTTCTGTCTGGCTGTCTAGCAACCTTGTGTATGGGAATAGTAAACCAAATTTATTGTCTGATGTTATTGTCTTTGTTAATTGCAGTTCATATAGCCATACTTGGGATGTTTTCCAACTTGCGCATGCATCGTTTAAGCTATACTGTGTACAAAACAACCTTGTCCTTCCTGCTAGCAGCGTGAAAGTTAATGGTAAGCTGGGTCCACGACTTCTTGGTGACCCTCCAAAGATCGAGGTTCCTCCACCTGAGGTAGATGCAGGAGATGATGAGACAAACTCTTCTGATACTCTTCCTGCCATAAAGATTTATGATGATGATATGAGCATGAGATTTCTTGTTTGTGGAGTCACACGCACTTTGGTAAGTGACAACGAATTTATATTTTTCGGTTTATCTGTTAGGTCATTCTTTAAAGAAATTTTTAGTTCATAGGGTGGTTTGCTTATGGGCTAACTTATTTTCAGGATGCATGCTTACTAGGATCCTTGGAAGATGGTCTCAATGCCCTCTTGAACATTGAAGTAAGTATGATTTTTAATTATCTATCTTCAAGCTACTAAAACTTGCCTTTCCAATTTTTTATTTTTTATTATTTTTTTAAATCCCAAAAGACAACAAATGGGAAGGGCAACCTCTTGCAAGCTCTGATGCCAAAATTGATGTAGAACATAGTTGTAAAAGGGTAATAGAAAGGGGTATGTCTTAGGGTTCTAATAAGGCAAAAAGACAGTTGGGGCTATCCTGAGCTATGCACATTATCCATGAAGAATAATTAGGGACTGACTGTGATAATTTTGGGTGCTTTCTAATCCTATTTTATTATCTGTTCTCCAACAATACTAGTTTAATTATTGTTCAAGTGTTCATTTTCTCCTCTCTCTTCTTTGTGCTGTTTCAGATGCGAGGGAGTAAACTTCATAACCGGGTTAGGTATTTCTCTGTCTTGAACCTTTTGATGCATGTACATCCATACATATATTGGGGTTTTTTTTTGGATAAATTGTTTCTGATGTGTGAGGGGGATTCTCATAATTTTGCTAGTTCACTTGGAACTTCTATTGTTCTTGTTCCATATCTGTCAATTGAGTGTATAATTTAAACTATACTATGGCATCAGTTGATGTGGAAAAAAGATGCTTGTAACCTGCATGCATGAAAACTGATGTATATATGTAAGTTCCATATGTTCAAATTTATCATATATATATATATATATTTTATTTTATTTTAAAATTTTTGATTTTGAACATAAAATTTTATCAGTCCTGTGAATTCCATGTACCTGACTATTCTTCTAATATATTTTTTTAAGTGTATCCCTGACCTGCACTGATGTCCATATAAGTTTTCATTAATGCCATTATTATGTGGTTCAGTGCCCTTCCACCACCTCTTCAGGCAGGGACATTTTCTCGTGGTGTTGTGACCATGCGATGCGATTTATCAACCTGTAGTTCTTCCCACATCTCACTTCTGGTGTCGGGAAGTGCACAAACTTGTTTTGATGATCAGGTAATTATAAAGAGAGTTTATTTTTATCTATTTATTTATTTTTGTTTCTGGAGAGGGGGGTTACCATGGTATGGGGTTTTCTGAACCTTTGGTTATGTGATCTGTTAATTTTCAGCTCCTGGAGAATCATATAAAGAGTGAAGTTATTGAGAATAGCCATCTAGTTCATGCACTGCCTAACAGTGAAGAACATAGACCGCCTTTGTCCCAACCTAGGAGATCTGCTTCAATAGCTTGTGGGGCAACAGTATTTGAAGTTTGCATGAAGGTCCCTACATGGGCCTCACAGGTACTTAACTTTAGCTTATATTCTTGTCATTTCCTTTTGCTCCATTTCCTGCAAGAAATTTTTTCTGGGTACTTGTTCTTTGGTTGTTCATTGTAATTCCTATGGGAATTAATCTCTTTTTTGAGTCAAGTGTGAAAATAATTAGGGTAAATTACATTGACACCCCCTCAGGTTAAGTCAAATCTCACATAAATGGACATTTTGGTTTTAACTTTCACTCACATTTGAAAGAGTTGATAAGCATTTCACTCACACCCCAAAAGTCACTTTTCAGTTGTGCTAGAGTACTTTTTACATATAAAATAACACTATCCTTTTGACCTTATGTTGACTTTGTTTCATGTATAAAATGACTTAATTATCCCAAAAAACTCATTTAAATGACCAAAATATCCTAAAATTTATCCTCTCTTCTTCTCTCACTAAGTATATATAAAATATGGGGAGATTTTTTTGGGACAAAAAACTTAATCTGCCACCTCATTGAAAATATGGACAATTATGTAATTTCAAGATAAAAGAGATCAGACCCGGGAACGTTATTCTCTCTCTTGTTCTCATCATCTCTTCTTCTCTCAAGCCGCCACTCTTTTTTCTTTCTATTTCTCACATCTTCTCTCCAATTGCTGTGACCTCCACTGACTTGAACCCCGTCACCGCCACCACAGCCATTTCCAGTTATACTCCTCTCATCGTCACCATTACTGGACAAACTTCGTCTACACTATTCTGGAACCATCCTCTCCATCGCCGCCGTGAGATGTTTTTTCATGTTCAAGAATCGGATCTCATTTCTTCTGATTTGATTCGATTAATTCAATTGATGTTTGGATTCTATTAAAACAGTGAGTGTTTTGTTTGTATGATTTTGTATTTTCAATGAAATTCTTCAGTTTATTTGGTGTCAATTTGGTGGTGGTGGAGGTTGTGGGGTGGGAATTGTGGCGGTGGTTGTGGGGGCGATGATGGTGGTGGTGGTTGCAGGGTGGCGTTGCTGCTATTATTCTCCATCTTGTTTATTTTCAGAACATTCTACAGCTATGGTCATGTTAAAAATAGATTATTAGGAATGAAATTCTATTGTAATGGAAGACTGTTTACCCAAAAAAAATTCTATTGTAATTGAAGACTTCATCTTACTTGAAGTAGATTATGATTTTTTTTTTTTTTTTCATTTTTTCATTTTATATATATTTTAAAGTGAAAGAGCTTAAATATTGGGCTTTATTGTATAGCTACAGCATGGGTGTGCCTAGTCCTAATGCCATAGAATTGTCTTGGGAATCTTCATGTTGTCTTGCCTTATGTATTTGGTTATACTACCTGTGAAGATAATACAAAAAATTGCAATCTTAATTGATTTATAATCTTTTCGGGTTATTGAGGCTGTTGTTCAACTAGATGATTTATGCAATGTTTGTGTAAATAGATGAGAGAGGAGACAGAAAGAGAGAGTGATTTGGTGTGTGGTTTTGTATATTAAATAGGGGCATTTTTGTCGTTTAAGATTACAGATATTTGGTATTAAAAAAATGGGGTAAATGGGTCAATTCGCATGTGTCAGAGTCCAAAAAGTAATTTGAGGTGTAATTGAAAATTAAAACCAAAATGTCCATCTAGGTGAAATTTCATCTAACCTCCTCAGGGGGTGTCAGTGTAATTTGCCCAAATAATTATAGTTTAGTGACTTTGAAAATGATTCAGAATATTAGATAAATCAAATAGCGCATTAAGTGCAACATAATTATGGTTTTAAGTGCCAAAATGTTATTATATGTTTTTGTTTGCTTTGGGATGAGCGGGTGGGGTGGGGTGGAGGAACCTTGATGGTCTCTTGCTTGCCAGGTGGCAAAAACTTGGGCTGTCAAGTGTGCGAACAAGGGCAGCTTTTTTGTGCTGTCACTGCACCATGGATTGATTGGAGTCATTGGACCAACACTAGGTGATATTAGATTAAATATGTTGAATTTGGTAGCGTGTATTTTTAATGGTGATTATGGACTGTTATGGAGGCCACGAGGTGCTTAATGCTTTGAGGTAGATGTCGATTGTGATACCGCTTTTGAGGTTCATACCTTGTAAATTAAATATGTTGGATTCAGTAGGGTGTATATATTTTAAGAACAATACTTGTCTACTCACCGGTGAGTAGGAAGTTCATGCTTACCAGTGGAATAAAAGTAATGTGACAAGTGTTCATAAAATAGAAAATAATAAAAAAAAAAAAAAAAAAATTTGAATGTTTATTGAGTCAACCCAAAAGGATGCAAATCAAATCTTAGTCTCTCTCTCTCCCTCTCTTTCTCTCTCTCAAACTACTTCGCTAAAACCCTAATCTACTAATACCGGATGTTTGGACTTTTATCTTTCATGATTTAATGTGCAATCCTTATATATACTTCTCAATTGTTTTTATTTATAGTACGCTCAATTACATAAAATCTGGTTCACATGGTTTGATACATTATTTGTTGATTGCATGATACATTGTTATTGTTTATTTCTGGTCTTCTTTTTCTTTTGGCGGAAAACAAATATCATTACATTTATAGTTATTCTTTCTATTCATCATCCAGAACTTTGTTTATATCTTTTAATATTATTTTATTTAAGTTATTCTTTCTATTCATCATCTAGGACTTTGTTTGTATCTTGTAATATTATTTTATTTAAGAATTTTAGCTTAAAATATTTTTTTTCGACAAGATCCCATTCTCATTCACTCCCTGGACATAAAGAGTAGCGTGAGAGGGGGAAAAGAGTTAGATTTGGATCATATTGGGTTTAATCCGGATAACCTCTCAAAGTTATTAATATTTATTATTTTCTATTTTAGAGAAGTAAGTATGAACTTTCTGCTCACCGGTGAGTAGGCAAGTATAGTCCTATTTTTAATGGGTGATTTGGACTGTGTTATGGAAGGCAGGAGGTGCTTATGCTTTGAGGTGAATGTTGACTACTTGGTCAGAGATACTGCTTTTGATGTACAAGTTTAAAGTTTTGGCCTGTTCTTTCCGTATTATTTATGTGTGTATATTGAACTTATCTTCAAAACACATTCTCTATAAACCACCATAATCTCTATAATTTACTTCGAGTTTTGACCTTGTTCTTTTTTTATTTAAAGGTTTAGTTGACTTGAATGATTCATTCTCTGATTTTTCTGTACAATTGACCTGTGCCTTTTAAGGTTTTAAGGCAGCTAGCACCAGATGTTTCTTATCGAAGTCTAGTTGCACTTGGCATTGCCAGCGTTCAAGGATTAGCTGTTGCTTCATTTGAAAAAGATGATGCGGACCGTCTTCTATTCTTTTGTACAAAGCAGGGAAAAGATGACCATGTAAAGAATTTTAATTTCAGTAGACCTCCTATCTGGTTGAGACCCCCTGCTCCTAGTAGAAAGAGGTCTGAACCATGCCAAGAAACAAGCCTCAGCTCTCATCATGGTTTGTTTTCTGGAAACCTAAGTACTGTCAAGAAAGAAGGCCAAGTGGATAAGGAAACTGTACTGAAGAATGGAGCTGCAATTCCCTTAGTACCTGTTAGACAGAAATTAAAGGTTGCTGCAATGAGGCCCATTCCTCATGTTCGTCATCAGAAAATGCTGCCGTTTGCTGGAATTTCTGAGGCTGATGGGCATGATGGAGGTCAAGTGAAGGCTAATTTGTTAGTTGTTCCTTCCACAAAACACAGTTCTGTAGGATCAAATCCTGTTGCCCATCGGAAATCATTCTCAAGCTCATCTCAGGCTAAGCAAATAATTTCCTTGAATCCTTTACCTCTGAAGAAACATGGTTGTGGTCGAAGCCCAATACACGTTTGCTCTGAGGTGAGTTTATTATATTTCTTCTCAGTTAACGTATGCCTTTAAATTATAATTTGACTTTTGGACTCTTTATACTAGAAGGTAAGGTGACCTATCATCTACCAAAAGAAGACTTACCTGTTAAAAAAGACCTACCAAGAACACTTTTGTGGTGAAAATAAATATCATGTCGGGAGAGGCGTACAAGGAATCTGTTGAATGCTGAACATTTGGAACATTTATTTGGGCTTTAAGGTTGCTTGATAAAAACCATATCATAAAGTTTATCTACGAAACTAATGCAATAAGATTATTGTTATCATCTTACCAACATGGTTTTAACTTTTAACTGTTTGAAGTAGCACCATTACTTGTATAGACTGTTGTTTTGTGTAGGCTCACATATAATAGCAGTAGAGCATCACTAATAGCAAAGTGCGGACAATGAATGTAAAAGACTAAGATAATTCCTTTCTACACTATTTGAAGTTTTTTATTTTTTATTTCCAATTATTTAATCAACCAAGTCATGTGATATTATAAATGGCATAGTTTCTTCTGAAGATGAGCCTGATCTGACAATAAGCGAAGACTTCAAAAATAGCCTTGTGTTTTATGTATTGGGAATGAAGATAGTTGCCAATATAATACAAATATTTATAGTGACCTTACTAATTTCCAGGTGCTAAGAAATGTGTATGACTGCAGTCACATATGAGTACTTTCCAAACCTATGGAGAACACACGATAATTGATTATATTCTCTAGGCGGAGTTCTGTAGGTCAAGTTTTAGAGTGTTTTGACCTTCATCTATTGATATTCTACATAATTTGAAAATTCTAAAATTGTATTGTTGATTTCTTGCAAGTTTGCTCCATAAACATGCAAAGAGAAATGGGCTTAAGTTGCTAGGAAGACGGGGTTGGTAAATATGGGTTGAAGCAGTGATTTGAAACATTGTCTGTTTTCTACTTGTCATTTGGCTATATAAATACAGAACCATCACAGATACTGATACGTATTGGTATTAGTTCTGCATTGAGGCCTTTGAACATGTGGGAACTGGTGCCCTTTTTGGTTTGTTCCTCATATATTCCCACTTGTTAAAATTAATCCTGTGCATTGTATCGGATTGTGAAGATATGATGGATCTATCTTTTGCCCTAGAAATTTTGATTTTAGGTTACAGTATTTTGGCTTTTCTCTCAATCTTGTTTTCTTGCAGGAGGAATTTCTGAAGGATGTGATGCAATTTCTAATCCTTCGAGGGCATACCCGTCTCATCCCGCAAGGTGGGCTTGCTGAGTTCCCAGACGCCATACTCAATGCAAAACGTCTTGACCTGTTCAACTTGTATAGAGAGGTGATTTTCCTTGTGCCATTTTGGTTATTAGCAGTTTTGGCTTTGAGAAACTGTGACTGGGGAGTTGATCTGAAATTGTTTGTTTCTCTCTTCAAAATTATAAATATGGAAGACGTTAAAAAATTATTGTTACTCAAAAGTTGGAGCATTTCTTAGGTGGTTTCACGAGGCGGCTTTCATGTTGGCAATGGCATCAACTGGAAAGGACAGGTTTTCTCAAAGATGAGGAATCACACGGTGACCAATAGAATGACTGTATGTCTATAACCTTGCTTGTTGGTTATTTATTTTGAATTCTTAGATAATCAATGCTGTAAAATTTTTAGTATCATGTGAGGTAAACCAGGGAGGTCAATCTGAATGCTCAGGTTTGGCTGGGATTCTCATATCTCTGCGTCCCTACCAGCCTAAGCCAATAACTTACAACTCATGATTTAATTCAATGTTGTTTATAATTTTATCTAAATTGATTTACAAAAACTTTCTGATAAAAAGATTAAAATAGAAAAGAAAATTTATATGAATGTAGTAAACATAAGAAATAGATATTGATCCAGCACCACGAGTTTGGGTTTTTATTTGATTAGTTGCTTTGCTTTTTAAACAACTTGAGTCTTTATCTGTTGGTTAAAAGCCTACTGTTACATGAGCTTTACTAATTACCCAACTTTAAACTTGAATGTCAATTTTAGTTATGAAGAATTGTAGGTTAATATGAATAACATGCTCTGATATGCGGCTGTAGTCATACTCATTAGTTTCTATGGCAATGACTGTCAAGTGAGCTTTATTTTTTATATTATTTAGTGTTTCATATGGTCAAATGTTGACTTCTACTATTGAAATGGAAATCAATAAATTGGATTTCATATGGTGGTTTGAACCAGGGTGTTGGGAATACACTTAAAAGACATTATGAAACTTACCTTCTGGAATACGAATTGGCTCATGATGATGTAGATGGGGAATGCTGCTTGTTGTGTCACAGGTTTCTACTTCCCTCATTTTCTCTGCTGAATTTATAAAATGCAAACATATTTGATCATTGTTTGGTAACAATGTGTGTTTCAAACATTCACCAGTAGCGCAGCAGGGGACTGGGTGAACTGTGGCATATGTGGTGAGTGGGCCCATTTCGGCTGCGACAGAAGGCAGGGTCTTGGTGCCTTCAAGGTATGGCAAAACTTCCGAAGCTCTTTTGATCCCAAAATTGATATAATGTCCCAGCTTTTGAAAAGAGAAGAATTATGTTGATTTACGTGTATTGCAAACAAAACATCAAGTACTATTGTGATTCAAAATTGCAGGATTATGCAAAAACTGATGGACTAGAGTACATTTGCCCGCAATGCAGCGTTTCAAATTTCAAGAAGAAAATGCAGAAAACTGCAAATGGATATTCTTGAGGCTCGACAGTCTCACGACCATTCTGATTGGTGTTTCCTTGGCCTCTGTTTAAATTTATCTTTCTATTGGTCTTATATTTTCTCTCCTTTTATGCACGAGAAAATCTGGAAATGTGTTTTAGAGATAGGTCTGCACGTATTATTAGATTTTAGCCATTGTTTTACATCCAGGATGGTTCAGGACAAAAAAAAAAGGTTTGGATACTCGAGTACAGGTGAAGAAAGAAATGGAGAAAGGGAAGGAAGGAAGCCTACAGTTTGCAGGCATAAAGTCAGGTCACAGAAAGGGAAGGATTGGGGGTGGGTGAGGGATATGGGGAGTTTTGTGAGCCCATTGTTCTGAGAGGGTTATGTAATATGTATATCTAGTTCCCTTTTCTCCATCATAACAACGTTTTTGTAGCTGTTGTAGCTTTATGAAAATAATTTTAATGGGAGTTTTAGAATTGTTCCAATTTACATTATCTTGTACAGACATTATGGTTCCGTTTGTTTGGACTTAAATTATTTATTTATTTTTTGGTGCTTGATTGTCATAAAAAAATATTAAAATTTAACAAAAATAATTTATCCATCAATTTTCGGCACGTTATTTTATATATTCTACTTTATGGACTTGACCTCGATCTAAACTTTTACTAACGACTGACAAAGTAAAAATAAAAAAATATTTTTTGTTGAAACAAATGGAGCCTATATTACTCTAGGCATAAAAAATGAGTCATTATAAATTCATATTTCTTTTAAGAAATGAGAAGCGAAAAAAAGCTTGACTATGCAGTAATTGAGAGATTTAACTGCAAGTCTCCCGGCATATGGTACCAAATGTCCTTGGGTGGCATTTACGCTTTCGATTTAGAATAGGAAAAAATTTAATACAAAATTTTAACTAAACTTTCTTTAATCTTTATTTTAAGGAGTCAATTCAGTACTTCCAAACTGAGTCACATAAAGCGTGAGTCGGAGCAATAGCGAATTCAAAAGTTGGAGCGGGAGAGCGGCATAATTAAGTTATAAATAGTAAGAATGTGAGTCAGTGGGCGTTCGGAGCGTGAGAACAACATTTGTTGAAAAAGATTGCGGCATAATTAAGTTATAAATAGTAAGAATTTGAGTCAGTGGGCGTTCGGAGCGTGAGAACAACATTCGTTGAAAAAGATTGTGTGATTTAGCTCTGAAACATAATAAGAAATTAATTGTTTGGATGATGGAGGGTGCATTGTGACTAATCAAATGCCCAAAAGGCCCGCCGCGGGGGGGTGGGGCAGGGGGGTTTGTAGTTTGGCAATTTCTTGTTAATTTGGGTTGGTGTCAGGCTACCATAAAAATTAGGTCTTTATTTAGTTTGGAAATTTCTTGTTAATTTGGGTTGGTGTCAGGTTACCATAAAAATTAGAAAAAAGTGAACAATACTTCGGGAATATCCTAACCAATACAGTCAGTGTTTTTTTCTTATGTTGTGTAAATTTAGGGAAATCAATACAGTCGTGGTTAGGGAATCCGAAAAGAAAAGATCAATTAAATGTTGACTAGCTGCTATAATAATAAATAATGGAACTGTATAATTTTGGTCGAGTTTGGGTTTCTCAGATCAAATAGCACATTTTGGTTCATGTGTCGAGACCAAAATTTTGAGTTGTAAAAATGATTATGCAAACATACAATAATTGGGTAGGATTTTTTATTTTTTCAAAATTGGGTAGGTTTTAAGTTCCAAATAAAACAAAAAATACAATAAAATAAAATAATAATAATCCACCTTTTCAGTCTCCTAGCCCAAAAAGGCAGTTTGGAGCCCACGCAAAGTGGGCCCCATTTCAAATCGCGTCACTCGCATATTTTATGCAAAATAAAACCCTAGGTCCCTAGCAACACTTCTCAATTTATAAGAAACCCTAATTTCTTAAGGCGCATATATATACACACACACACACACACACGCACAGCCACACGCATAGCCACACGCATAAGCTAAAAGAAGTCTCTACAGTTTTCTCGATGGGGAAGACTAGGGCTAGCAATTTGGAACCAAGAATTTTGCGTCTTTTTGAACTAGGCGATGCCCGTAACATGCAAATAGCTTATAACAAAGACACAAACGAAATTCTGTTTCTTACACCTATAGAAGATGATCAACCAGAAGAAGAAGAAGAAATTCAGCAAGAACAGGTTCGTCGGAAACGTACAAGTTCTACTTCAGAAGATGAAGATATGCAGCAAGAAGAGGCTCATCAGAGATGTACAAATTCAGACGACGAAGATGTAGAATTCCAATTGGCTCTTTTTTACTCAATAGCAAGTTCTCAAGAACCTGAAATTCAAAACGAGAAGAAGAAGGGTGTTATGAGGCCTTGTTCAATCACTTATGGAGATTTCCGAACTTTTTCGCCGGAGACCGAGGAGAAAGGTGATTCTTCTCACACTGTGTGTGTTATCTGCAACGAAGTGCAGCCGAGTATCCTGAGCAAAAGATGCAGCCACGGCTATTGCAGGGAATGTTTCGGGTTTTATATTGTGAAGAAGATTCAAGGAACCAGCACTGGAATCGTCAGGTGCCCGGTGAACAAGTGTAAGACTCTGTTTGAGGAGAAGCATTGGCGCCAACTCATACCCAAAGAAGTGTTGGAGCGATGGGAGAATGCTGCTTTGGAGGCCTCGGTTCTCGCGTCGCCGGAGTATATCCTGTGCCCTTTCAAGGACTGTTGGGAGGTGTTTGTGGATGACGGGAAGGGGTTCGTGATAAGGGCGTGTCCCAAGTGCTGGAGGCTGTTCTGTGCACGGTGCAATGCTCCATGGCATGAACGGATGTCTTGTTCGTTGTTTCGGTTATTGAGGAAATCTCCAAAACTTAGAAGACTACTCTTAGAGGAGGCAGAAGAGATGAAAAAATATATATAAGGAACAATACTATGTGGTGGTTTTACGCATATACTTGGGATATCAAATTAATTTTAATTTTTGAATGTTTATGCTGATGAAATTGACAATTTTACTTTGAATAATTGTTTGATATTGATAAAGAATGTTAGTAGTAGTATTCAAAATTGTTTGATAATTATTCTGAGTCATTGTACATTTGAGTATGAATTAATAAGCTTGCTTTTTGTAGATATTGTTAATTTGGGCAAACCTTGTAGCCTTAATTCCTATCAGAATCGTAGCCATTTTTATTTTAGGTTTAGTTAAAAAGTTTGGGCACAGAATTACCCTGAGGTTGAAATCATCTTGGCCCCAAGATCAATGATGTACCAGCATCCAGCTGACAATTAAGTTTTGACCAAATTGGTAGGATGGGAACCTTGTCGCATTTGAAATAGAAGGCCTATGATTGCAAGTAATTTTATGTTTTATTGATTATACACATACACGTGTATGTATATAGGGGTGGAGCCAATTAAGGCCGGGAGGGCTTGGCTCTAACTTACTATATATATATATATATATATATATATACATATTTTTGTTATATACATATTTTATGGAGTAAAGTGCAAAAAAAACCCGTTAAATCCCCGGCCTAATAATTTTGCATATAACCCCCGAACTAACTATTTTGTTGCAATTAACTCAGTCCAGTAATCAGCCGGTGAAGAAGCACATGATAGATAAAGTGACAAACTAAATTTCTTTAAATGACCATATAACCCTTTATAAAGCTAAAAGACCACAATGCCCTTCTTAGTACATTAAATCCCAAATAGGCCAGAACCCTATACTCATTCTTCATAATCAAATCTGATCTCTTTCCATAAATTCCTCATTCGTGGCTAGGTGGAAACTGAATTCCGTGGCACTATCTTCCTCGATCAAATCCCAAATAGGTCAGAACCCATAAAGCGGGTGAGCCCGGCTGGATTGAATCGGCTGTCGGCGAATAAGGGAGGGCTAGGCTGTGGAGAAATCAGCCGGTGGAGACGATGGCAGAGAGCTCGGATGGTAGAGCTCTGACCGGCGAGGTTGGTGGAGAAGGACGACATGCAAGAATTGGCCGGCTGTGGAGAGCTTGGCTATTAGCTCGGCCGTGGAGAGCTTGGGGTGGTGAGCTGCGGGCTGTGATGGTGAACTCGCGGTGGCTAGCTAGGCTTTGATGGTGTCGGCTGTGATGGAGATGGCGGCAAGCTCGGAATGGGGAGGTCGGGGGATCAGGCGATCGAAGCTTGGCGGTGCTCGGAACACGGCTGGTGGAGACGACTGGTTCGGGACGACAGCGAATCAGCGACTAAAGAAGTCGCGATTCCGGTGATGGGCGCGCTGTTATGAAGAAGCTCGGCCGTGATTGGGTTTAATGGCGGCCGGCTGGATTGAAAGGCTGTGAGCTCACGGTTCACGGCGTGATGGCACGCTGAGTTACACTAAAGCTCTTCCTTCTTTCTCGGTTGAGCACGCAATAGCTCTTACATCACACACAGCAACTGGATGGTAAACGAGCTTGCTTAATACAGATTTTCCTCAAACAATAGGATGCTTCAACAAAGGCCGAGAGGGAGAGGGAGAGGGCCGGAGATGGAGGTTAGGGGATTTCCATGCGAGCACATTACAACCAATTGGTCGGAGTTGTCACATTGGGTGTAACCAAACAATGTAGTTTTATATAGGGGTAAAATTGTCTTTCACTATTTTCGTTATAACCAATTGGCCGAAGATGTCACATTGGGGTTAATAGCAAAAATTCAATAATTCAAGGGGCAAATTGTACTTCAAGGGGGTTAATTGCAAATGCCAATACTTTAAAGGTTTTTTTTTTTTTTGCATTTTACCCTATTTTATATGGCAATTTTGAATAATGCCCCTCTAAATTTTTTTTATTCCTCTAATTTCTTTTTGAAAAAAAAAAAAGGTTTACACATATCCCCCTATTCAAATTACTTCATATTTTTTTTCCTTTTCTAATTTTTCTTTCTTTTATCAAAATTTTTCTTTCTTCACTTATAATGTATGACCTATAATGGTTATTTCTCTTCTTATTCTTTTTATTTTTCTTGTACTTATTTAAATCAATAAAAATAAGAATACCCATTAAAGACTGTTGTGATTTGTTTCTTATATTTGTCAAAGTATTTATTTTTTACACTACTTGTTTAGCATATTATTTTAAATTTTTTTTTTTCTTGTTTCCCTTTTAATTAATTTAGAAAAGTTATATTTATTATAGTTGTTGAATTTTTTTTTTCTCCAATAAGTGCACTGTGCCCCTGAAATAAAATTCTGACTCTGCTCATGTATATAGAGAAACTTAATTTCGCTTATTAAATACTCCTATGTAATGACAGGAATATACTAAAATAAAATACTTTTTCTTTTGTGAAAGACTTTTCTCCTTTTTAAGAGGGAGCTTTTTAGTAGAGGGCCCTCAGGGTCTAAAAATCCCACTAGAATTGTTTGTTCATGTTGGGCTTTATTGTTTAGGGCTTAGTTGAATTCCTTTGTTTAGGTTGGTTATATCCATGTTTCCATGTTTTGGTTATATTGGTCTTCGGCCCACACTTTACCTACTTTGGGCTGGCCCTTTCTCTTTGTATATTCTCCTTACTTGATAAATTCATTAATTTACCAATATATATATATATATATATATATATATATAAATACTCGTTTAACCTCCCAAAAAAAATTTCTCACAATCTTTGTGTGTCCATATCTACTTTTTCTTTTCTTTTTTTTTTTTTGTTTATTTTGGGTGGTGGTAGACAGAGAGTTGTGTTGTGTTATAGTTATTTTGATGTAATGTTAGTGATTTCTTATGGTTTAGCTATATATCATATATATGGATGTGTTTTTCTATATGAATATTCAAAACACTTAAAAGAGTACTAAGTAAGGTGCTATTTGATAAAACTAAAAATTAAGTATTGAAAATTTCAAGTACTGAATTTTAAGCGCAGAAATTTTAAGTACTGAATATATTAATCTGTAAACTTGTTTGATATTGTATTAATTTTAAGCGCTGAATTCATTAAGATTGTTTGTTAAATGCAAAAGTTCAAATATGAATGTTGTATATATTATAGTTTTGCCTTGAATATCTTCTGCACATAATATTATAATAAAAGATACTATATCAAAACATAAACATATATATAAAATAATGAATTTCACCAACGAAATATATTAATTTAATAATGGATATTAATGTCAAAACTGATCATAAAAATTTCAAAATCAATGTGACGTTCCGAAATTTCACAACCCGGATAAGTCAATGCGACTTGAAATTTAACCCAATAACGAATTCGGAATGTGGAAGCGAAAACAAAAACAAATGTGGAAGCAAGAGGTGAAAATAGACCAAATATGCCCTAAGGGCAAAAATGGTCATTTCACATGCAAACAAAGTTTCAAGAAATGTACGTCATTCCTAAGATACAAACAAGGCTTCCCATTAAGCCACGGAACTTAAAAGAAAACAAAAATGTGGAAGCAAAGTTTTAAAAACGGACAAGTTTAGCCTTAAGGACAAAATCATAATTTTTAGAAAGTTATGGGTGCTACCGAGCACACCATTGGATAGACGGCGAAAAATTAATAAAGTTCAAAAAAAAATTCACCCAAAATGGAATCCGAACGAGGGAGAAAAGATCCGACGAAAAATCGACGTCGCGGTGGCCAAAAGGGCTGCTACCACCTGCTATGCGCCCAGAAAATTCAAACTTCAAACGTGATTTTGGATCCCTAAACGACCCTTTTTTGGAAAAACACGAAAAAGAAATCCTCCTTAAAATAATTTTTTCAAGCTGACTATATCGAAAGAAAATTTTATTTTTAACCTGAAATGCCCAAAATACCCTTGAGATCACACTTTTTTTTCTTGAAGAAGTGCGCACCATGAAATTAGATTTAATGCGGGGTTTTGGAGACCGAGACGACATTTTTTGGAAAAATATTGTGATGAAACCCCCCCTAAAATCACATTTTCTAAGCGACCATATTAAGATCAGAATTTATTTTAGAAGAAAAATTTCCAAAATTCCCCTAAACCAAATTTTGTGAAAAATGTAAAAATGTCCAATGACTAAATATGAAGTTGCTGGCTAAAACGATTGTGCACGAAAACGTAATAAGTGTTTTGAAGTGTGTGGGAATGGTCCATGACCCCCAATTATGCCCAATGCAAAATCCGACCTATTAAACCTCAAAAATGCCTTAAAATGAGAAATTTGAAGCCTACTATCAACCACAACATACAACCATGATATTTTGTGTAAAGTAAACATTCTCGCAAATGTAATATACATAATAAAATGCGTCCCAATGGCCCATGGTCTCAAAATATACCATATGCAAAATACGACGTATCCAAACCCCAAAATCATGAAAAAATGGCCTTTTTAAGCGAAATTTGAAGTCAACCATCATTGATGCATTCAAAGAATTGTTTGACCCATGGCTACGCGTCATATATGATATAAGAACATTATGAAAAATGATAAAACACAATTCCCACCATCCAAGCTGAAATTGTCATGCTAAAGTTTCGCATTTTCTAAGTTTTCACTATAAGAAATTAGGGTTCTTGCCACAAGACACTTCGTGGCAGAAACCTTCAAATTTCGTGGTGAAAGCCTTTTAGCCACAAAAAATAGCCTCGTGGCTCAGTCGTGGGAGTAGCCCCATCACAGATTGCCAATAACTACGACTAAAAATTTTCGTGGCAAAATGTGAAACTTTTGCCACAAAATTTGAACTCGTGGTAAAATACCTCCTTTCGCCACAAGCTATTTCGTAGCTAAATAATAATACTTTCGTAGCAATTAGCAACCTCAATATAGGAATTAATCGTGGCTAATTTAATACTTTTGCAACGAAAATATATATCGTGGCTAATTTAACCCTTTTTCCCACGGAATTTATTCGTGGCTATAATTCTAATTGCCCACGAATATATGTCATGGCAAATATCG